AAWKRRGWTCTAAATAYAATATGCAAATGAGKTCTAAATAYRATATGCAAATGARTTCTAAATACRAYATTYAAWTGAGTTYTAAGTTCCTATCTTGCCTTCACRTACCCGAACGATTTAGATATTTAAAAAGGGCCAGCAATCCCCGTACGGGGATCTCCCGTGACGTTAACTCGCTCAACACTCAATCCCACTACATTCTTTATTCTGTGATGTCATAACTTCTAAATCTTCCTAAAAGAAAGATTTCAAAAGTTTGAAGCTGGTCACCAACATGTGATGCTAATTTGTATGATCATACCTTAAGGCGCGATTACACGGAGCAATTTTCTCTGAAACTTGTCTCTAAATAGCGTTGCGGCACAACTTGCAAGAGTTTTTACACGGTGCAAAGGAGACTCAATCGCTGCCAACTTGCTGCAACTTGTCCCACAACATTGTTTCCCAAAATGCGCTGTAGTTTACACGCTGTGATGCTCCATACAACTCGTGTGGCAACGCTGTCGCGAGACAAGTTGCAAAGAATATTACTACGTGTAATCGCGCCTTTAATTTCAGTATTATGACTAGTCAGACCTTTTTACTGATACGGCGGCCATCTTGAGTTATTTTACTTATTGTTCCAACTACCAGGAAATCCATTTTTTTTTCCAGATTGGCTTCTCATTGAAAAACATAAGGTTATAATAAAAAGACGTCCCGACAGCTGTACAGTCTATATACTTTACAGCATTTGCCACTCGGCATCCCATAATGTCTTAATTATGACAACAGAATTCAAGAATGGCCGCCGTATCGGTAAAGTCTATTTTAGTATTTTGATTGTTTTTCGGTCCTCCCACTTTGAGAAATCGAGGTGTGAATACTTAAAATGTTGTGTTGAAATTCCTCAAGTTCAAGGTTAATACTATCTAGTTATAGAACCGCTGCTACCATATTCATCAGGTTTGTAGACTCTCAGATATACAACCCAATGAATAACAAAGAAAGCATCAACACAACATGAGTAGCACATCTCAGTATGGGATTTAATTTACAACCACGAGCAGGAGATAATAGCGAGGTGTTGTTAAGCCGATACAGATCAGACGCGAATCAATATGTCTAGAATAAGAGATGACTCTTGCAGGAGTCTGCCTTTTATTACTAGATTCATCACAGGTAGCCCAAGCTTGGTTTCTGTGGTGTCATGTTATAAGGAAATGCATGGGGATTCTTCAAACATTTCAATAAAACCATTGAAACGTAAAATGAAGCCTCGAAATTTTACCTGATCATTTAGAAATAGCACTTCTTTCGCTCTGTGTGGTTATTTTTTGAATTTAGGTCGTTTTAAGGATTTTCCCCCACTAGTAAGAAATAAGATGGTCCATACATTTCCTTATAACATGACACCACAGAAACCAAGCTTGGGCTACCTGTGGATTCATCCACACTAGCCACTGTCAAGTCCTGTGCCGCGTACACGGGTTCGGTAGTGACTTTTGAGCATTAACTGAGCAATTACAACGGCCCATGCCACAACTCACTTCTTTACACGTAGCAAGCTCTTGCCGGTAGGAAATGAGATGTTTTTTTTTAGTTACATATATGTATGTATCAATCATGTGTCGAGCATTTTGATCTAGCCTTAATTTGCTTTAAACCAGGGTAGTAGTATAAGGATTGGGGGTTCCAACTCAATCTCTACCCCTGTATTACCTGCGTAAAGAGGCACCTCACGGTGATCGTTCGGGTCTCAGAGGTATTATTTACGAAAACCTTGGTATAAGGATTGGGGGTACCAACTTACTGTCTAAAGTAGCACCTTGCGGTGATCGCCCAAGGGGGTGTTTTCCTCCAACGTAAGATTTAAGTCTTATATATGAAGTGCGAAATTCGAAGGAAGGCTGGCGGGGGTTACCCGTGCCCGTATTGAGAGCCGAGTGGATGTTTTGTCGTTTGGATAAGGATATTCCTTATTATCCTAATGTAATTTACGAAATATTTTACAAGATAGACCCCAACCACCCCCTGTTAGGTTGGATTCCGAGAAAATAAAAATGCAAAACTGGCGTTTATTTTGCCAGAAACCCCACTGGGGAATGCATCGCACAGAACACCAAGCTATCCCCAGTGGGGTTTTTTGCATTTTGGGCTTACGGGGCTTATTTCATCCCGCGCCAGAGGCCCTCTAGTACACACATTTATCTTTCTTACGGCCCCCCAGAGGGTGAACTCCGGACAGCGTCCCGAGACACCCCCTGACTTTTCCAACTTTTCCTCGTGAAACCTCCCATCGCGGGGTTGAATCGCACTTTCTATCTTTTCTTTTCCACCCCTCCCCCACGGTTGCTGTGAGTGAGGGAGGCTTTTTTTTCACCCACAGCAACCGGTCCAAATGTGTTTGAGCGAGGCTTGAACTCGGGACTTTGGGCCTCCCCAGATCCAAAGTCCACGAACACAAGCGAACGCCAAACACACAGGACACTTACGTATGTGAAAATTATTATATTTAATACAGCTGGCGTTCGATATGTAAATAGAATCCTGTCACGCTTTTTTCAAAGCAAATATTTACTGAGCGAGTTTTCTTTGAAGCTCCTCTTTTGCCTCCTGGTAGATTTTCCTTCGAGATTCCTCGGAAAGATCTTTTACGACTGATTTTTTATTCCTTATGTCCATCTTTAATTTCTCGTATTTTTCCTCTTCGGCTAAGATAAGCGAAAACTCTACGTCGTCTATCTTTCTGTCACGCAAAGCCTTTGAGACAAGGTCAGTAATCGTATTTGCTTTAGCCCTTGACAGAGCTATTGTCGTGTCGTGTTTTGATATTTTGCTTGACAACTGTTTCATAATGCCCGTAGCAACGGCTGAAATGATACCACAGGCTGCCCCAACGCCGGCTAAAGGAACCCCAACAACTATTCCAGGGCCTGTAAGCGAAGTAGCAACGCCGGTGCCTGTTAATGCTACGGACATGGATCCTGTAGTTATCGCAATTTTATGTAGCGTACTACGGGTTCTGACGTATTTCTTTCTAACGTTTTCGTAATGTTTTGTTTGTCCTTCCAAGTAAGCCAGGATTAGATTTGCTTTATTGAGCCTGAAGTTTTCAGCGTTCATTTCGTTGGGTCCCGTGTCCTTGGGTAATTCTGGGTACAACTGAGGCGCTGATGGTATAACATCCATTATATATACTAATGTACGACGCTTTTGGGAATGATATTGAATTCAGTATTTATGTTTCATTTTCACTTTACAGTACGAAGAATATTGCATGAGATGGGTGTTATTGCCCTACCAGGAGATTCTGCGTTTGATCCCAGAGATAACAAATACGACTCACCTGCCTACGACAGACTTTGTAAGGAGTTTGGAGTAGCGGGAAAGGACTTTAGATGCACCGCCGGAGCCAACGATGGCCTAGGACATATTTGGGCTTATTGGGGTATTGGAGGGCATGAACTAACCAATAAGGAAGTCCATGCATTGCGGCTACAATGGAACACAGGCTATCATAAAGTATCTTACGATAGCAGCACCTTCTTTGAACCAAATGCTAAGACCACTAAGGAAGTCAGAGATGGTCCTCTATTTAAAGACGAGGGTGGGAAGTATGCAGGGGCCAATCCATTGATTATCCGTATAACCAACGACGAACACACAAAGCAATATCTTAATTTCATACCCAAAGAAGGTAAAGGACTAACTAGAGCCGGTCTTGCCCGCCTAAACCGCAGCATAGAAGCTTACGTGTATTCTATCCTTGGAGCTCAGGTAAATACCCGATCAAGCATAATTGGAAATACCGGCGCCGCAGAAGACACCAGAGCCGAAGCCTTGATCTTATTCGAAAGTTCAATTTTGGAGGGTGACATTAGCAAAGGCGTACAGCGTTACCAACTAGCTATACAAAATTCCAAAGCAAGGTTGGACTATGCAGTAGCCCCGGGTTGTTGGCTAATGCCCAGTAACATATCCATGAATGCTGGCTCCGTAGTAGGATACAACAACAAGCTCCAAAAGGCTACTAAGGATATGAAGTTTGGGGTGAATGACGTAAACTCTGACATAACCAAGGGTATTCCTCACTTCGTAGAGAAGCCAAAAAAGAAGCACGTAGAAACGCCGATTTCCAAGCCCGCAGCCCAAAAGAAGGTTCACGTTGCGATACCCGAGGAATATGACCATAACTTACTCAAGGCCGGTTTAACCGCCGCAAGCATTGGTCTGAGTTTTTATATATGGCGATGAACAACCCCTACGTATCCGGAATGGATTGTGTTTATACGACTTACGCAGGTGAGAAAAAATACTCCCAGGCATCTTGGGTTGATGTCACTGGGATGTCCGTGGACTTGAACTACTCAGGAAAGAAGCTGATAATATGCAGCATATGTATTGGTACGGATAGTCACGCCAACGTCGGCTTCCGGTTCCTGGATGAGAATGGCATACTACAGCCCATGCGTGCTAAGACAAACAACAGGGAGCCTGCGCATTTCTCCGTAGAGCCGAACGCCCAAAGCGTCGAGAATCTTTCCGTTTGGACTTTCCACATGGTTACCGATTGCCATGGGAAAGTAAAGCTGCAAATACGCGTAGACGACACGGGCGTAGTAACGGTAAATAGTGTACACGATCAAAGAGATCGACCTTATAATCACTTAACCATCAGTACACTTACGGTGGTTAGTCTTTAAATATATGAATCCACACATAAAGGAAGATTGGTTTCTTCATTACTTAGAGGAGAAGGACTACTTAAAACAACATTGGCATGACACTGGATTGTGGGTGAAGGTTGGAGGCCTGGGATTGGTCATGTGCACCATTTGCATTTCGACGGGGTATTCGTGTAATGTCGGGTTTAGGATCGTTGATGAGAATAACCA